TATATTAATTAATTACATAATTTACTTATTTAGTTTTTATTTACTTTCAATTCATTTGAGCGTTAAAGGCAGTTCTGTAGGAATTGAAATTAAGCGTTTTTGCACTTGTGGCGAATCTAGTTCTTAATTCAGCGTTTAATATTCAAATTTAATTTATATTAGGAATACTATTTTATTAAAATTTAGTTTTTTTAAAAATATTTATTATTCAAATTTAATTTATAATAATAAATTAAGTTTAGATTATCAACATGCATTTAAAGGAATATGAGGATATGTTGCTAAACACACGTGCAGCAGCAGCAGCAGCAGCAACTGTGGAGCCGTGCAGCTGCTGCTGCAGCTGCTGCTGCTGCAGCTGCTGCAGCAGCAGCAGCTGCTGCTGCTGCTGCGTCAGAGCCACCAATGCGCTCGCTGCAGCACCAAAATAAAAATAAAAAGTTCAGCTGTTGTCTGCCAAGTCGGTACGGGCCTTCTTGAAGAACTGCAGCAGCCCATGCCGCTGCTGCTGCTGCCGCTGCTGCTGCTGCTTCCTTTTGTCTGTTTTCTGCACCTCGAGCACATCATCTGTGTCTTCTTCTTCGCTCAAATCGAAAACATCTTTATGTTCTTCTTCCGGCTCTTTGCACTTTTTTAATTTGCCATTTTTGCTTTTATAATTGCCATTACTTTTATTAAAGTTATCGCCATTAGTGTTAATGGCAGCCCCGCTGCTGCTGCTGCTGCTGCTGCTGCTGTCGCCTTGCTGCAGCAAACAAGGCACTGAGTTTTTGCTGCAGCTTTCCATTTTCAGCTGCTTCTGCTCCCCGTCCAGAGCAGTTGTCAGTACACCCCATTTGCTCTGCAGCATCCGATACACTGCATCATCCAGAGTCCCCTGCAGCAGCAGCAGCAGCAGCAGCAGCAGCGGCAGCAAGGCGTAAATTGCTTCGGCCAACAGCGCCTTTGAAGCAGCTTTTCCTGCAGCTTGCTCGTTTGCTGCTGCTGCTACTGCTGCTACTGCTGCTGCTGCTCATGTTGCTGCTGCTGCTGTTCCTGCTACTCGTGCTGCTGCTGCTGCTGCTGCACTGGTTTACCGCCTTTTCAGCTGCTTAGCATTTGACCCTTTGCTGCTTCTAACCTAGAGTTTAGGTTTAGGGTTTAGGGTTTAGAGTGGTGCTCCGGACAATTCGTCTACTGTTCAGGGTTTCCTGTCCACGCTCAAGGGTTTAGGGTTTAGGGTTTAGGGTTTACCTCTCCAATCAAGTAGTGGATTTGCACTGCCTGGTGTTTGCTGCCAATTCTGTGGGATCTGTCTTCAGCTTGAAGAATGCACCCCGGCACCCAATACAGCTCCGCAAAGACCACTGTACTCTGCAGCAGCAGCAGCAGCAGCAGCAGCAGCGGGAGTAAGAACGGGAGGGGGAGCAGCAGCAGAAGCAGCAGCAGAAGTAGCAGCAGCCAGGCCGGGGCTGGCGGGTCGCTGCGCAGCAGAGACCGGCAGCTGCAGCAGCACCCGCTGTTGCTGCTGCAGCTGTGCTGCAGCTGCTGCGCTGCAGCGGGGCTTTCTGCAGCCTGGGGTGTACGTACACCGGAAAACTAGCAAAAAAAGATTTCTGGCGCGATTTACATGCGCAGCAGGAAGAAGCAAAAGACGCAATACAATATATTCATTTTTAAAAAGAAGACATCTGAAAAATATACTTCAAACTTTTCTGCTGCTGGCCCACGCCGCAGCAGCAAATGCATGCGCCCTGCTGCTGCAGCAGTCTGTCTGTACACCCGAAGCCCCACTTCCACTCACTGCAGCAGTTAAGTCCAGTCCTTGCCCGCAAGCCGTTATTGACAGCACAGCAACCTGAGCAGCAGCAGCAGCAGCAGCAGCTGGAGACACTGCAGCAGGAGTGGCAAAGCAACACGAACTACAGCAGCAGCAGCAGGTGCTGCAGCAGGAGCGGCGTAGCTACACGCGTCACAGCAGCAGCGGCAGCAACCGGCACAGGGGCAGAACCAGCAGCAGCAGTGCAACCAGCAGCAGCAGCAGCAGCAGCAGCAGCACGCAATTCGGGCAAAACTCTACAACCAGGAAAGCTGGAGAAGCGAAACGGCCACGAGCCGAAAGGCAGCAAGAAGCAGAGGAGGAAAATAGAAAAAGAAATAAAATAAATAAAATAAAATAAATAAACAAAAGAAAAAAATAAATGGAATACCTTGCAGTCGGGGTCCGTCTGGAACTGGCGGACCTTGGCTTCGCGTTGGTGCTGGGGCGTTCTGCCGTCAATGAGAACAGCTTTTGTCTTTTCTTGTTTTTGCAAAAACAAAAAAATAAAATCCAAAACAAATAAATGATGAGCAAAAACAATAAACTTCACGCTGCACTGCAGCAAGTAGCCCAAGTACTCGCACACGCCCCCCAGCTTCGCCCGCCCCGTCAGCGCAAACAGCTCCGACACTGCTGCGTGGCTCCCCCGCTGCTGCTGCTGCTGCTGCTGCTGCTGCTGCTGCGCGGGCGGCGAGGGGTCTGCTGCGCAGCTGTCCGGAGCCTGGGCGGAAACAAACGGGTACTCGCACACACAGCGGCTCACCCACACGCTGCTGCTGCTGCTGCTGCTGTTGCTGCTGCTGCTGCTGCTGCGGCTGCTCCTGCTGTTGCCGCTGCTAAACAGGTGGGGAAGAAGTTAAGTGCTACATTCTGATTAAGTGCTGCTGCAGTTCAAATGCTGCTGCTGTTTATTCAATGCTCGTCCTCCAACCCACCTCTGCTGAATCAGCTGCTGCTGCAGCTGCTGCAGCAGCAGCAGCTGCTGCTTTTGATCCAAAAGAAACCAAAGCAGCAGCATCAACGCCTTCCATCCGTTTGCGAATTTCCCTCATCTCCTTCGCGGGGATTTCTATTGGAATGCGCGACCTGCCCGCAAACCCTAAACCCCAAACCCTAAACCCTAAACCCTCAGCGGAGCTACGCAGCCCCTTTAGTTTCTGTTAAAGACGGAGCAAGCAAAGGCTACCTTCCTCAGCAGCAGGAGCAGCAGCAGCAGGGAAAGGCCTGCGGTGGGGGGGTGTGGGGCCGAGGGTTTAGGGTTTAGGGTTTAGGGTTTGGGGTTTGTTGCCTTGTTTTGGGGGGGAGTTCTGTGAGGACGTCCTTCTTGAGTCTGCGAATGAGAATGGTTTCCTTCAGCAGCAAATGCAGCTCTTGCTGATGCTGGTGGCCTTCGTCTTCCATTCTTTTGGAAAAAGAATTAAAAACGGGAAGGCAGTACCGCGCGCTGAACTCCCGGTACGAACACAAGTCCGGCAGCTGCAGCAGCAGCAGCAGCAGCAGTAGCAAAGCTTGCATTCAAATTCGAGTTTAAACTGCATTTCAATTGGTTTAAATTGTTTTGTTTGCTGCCGCTGGTTTCTTCTTTCGCTCTCCGGGAAAATCCGGGGAAAAAAGCAAAAAAAATGATGACAGCAGCGCTGACCAACCGACTGCTAGGGTGTAGGGTTTAGGGTTTAGGGTTTGCGGTTTAAGCGGTGGCTTCCGACCGCCTCTCCGCCTCTGCCCTAGGGTTTAGGGTTTAGGGTTTAGGGCTAAGGGAGTTGCTTCTCTCTGGAGAAACGGAGCAGAAGGGAAAACGTGGAAAAGAGGAACCCACGAGGAACCCCAAACCCCAAACCCTAAACCCTAAACCCTAAACCTTAAACCCTAGCTCACTAGGGAGTTCAGCTGCTGGTAAAGCTCCACTGGGCGGTTTAGGGCGGGGGTCCCTGACAGCAGCAAAGCCCGCCGCGCTTGCCGCAGCATTGGGCAAATCTGCGCAGATCCACACGCAGTCAACAGCTAGCTAGCTAGCTAGCTAGCTAGCTAGCTAGCTGGCTGGATGGATATCTCGCTGGCTAGCTAGTTAGCTAGCTGGGTAGCTAGCTAGCTAGCTGGCTAGCTTGCTAGGTGGCTAGCCACCTTTCTGGCCAGCCAGCTAGGTAGCTAGTTGAACAAGTGGCTACGAAGCTATCTAGTAGCTAGCTACTGGCTAGCTAGCTACTGGCTAGCTAGCTTGCTAGCTAGCTGGCTGGCTGGCTGGCGGGCTAGCTAGCTGGCTAGCTAGCTGGCTAGCTAGCTAGCTGCAGATGCGCAATGGCGCCCAGCCCGCCGGCTAAGTGGCTAGCCGCTTAAGCGGTAAACAGACAAACGCCCTGGACACTAAACCCTAAACCCTAAACCCTAAACCCTAAACCCTAAACCCTAAACCCCAAACCCTGAAATCACCGCTTGCGTCCTCTTGGCGTGGTGGTTCTTCAAGTAGTGGGACTCGTCGCAGATGACGCACTGCAGCAGCGGCAAAGACAACAAGGGTTTAGGGTTTAGGGTTTAGGGATTAGGGTTTGGGGCTCAGGTCGAGCACTTGAGCCGCGATCGCGCGAACTCTAAACCCTGCACCCTCTCAACTCTCGCTCTAGGGTTTAGGGTTTCGAGTTCGTGGTTTAGGGCTCAGAATTCAGGGTTTAGAATTCAAAATTTAGGGTTTAGGGTTTAGGGCTTAGGGTTTGCCTGGTAGTTGGCCTGGAACTTCTCTTGTTTGGCCAAAAGGTCATAAGAGATTATGACCAGTCGGGTCTCAGGCGCTATTTCGCTTTTCCCGTTCCTTATGATGCAGATCTGAAACAAACAACAAACCCTAAACCCTAAACCCTAAACCCTAAACCCTAAACCCTAAACCCTGAACCCTAGTGAGCCGCGTATGCTGTGTCCCGCAGCTTCTTGAGGCCTCTACAGCCATCCTTTCTCGTTCCCCAAGCTAGCTGGCTAGCTGGCTTGCCAGCTAGCTGAACAATTTGGTTTATCTGGCTAGCTATATACCTAGCCGCATAGTTATATACCAGCCATACAGCTAGCTATCTGGCCAGCTGTCTGGCTAGCCTAGCTAGCTAGCTGCTAGCTAGCTAGCTAGCCACAATACCTGTTCAGGAGAAAGGATATGCCCCAGCCACCTCAGCGCCTGGTCTCGCCACTGGAATCGACTGAGACACAAAAGAAAAAGAAATAAACGCTCACGCTGCTGCTGCTGCTGCTACTGCTGCTGCTGTTACTGCTGCTCCTGCTGCTTCTGCTGCTGCTGCTGTTGCTGCCGCTATTGCTGCTGCTGCTACTGCTGCGCTTACATGGAAGAGGGGCAAACAACGAGAAGGGGCCAGTCTTCAAGATACTGTGCGGCGATTGTGAGGGCCTGAGATAGACACACTCAGCCGCTGGGTGCAGCTAGCTAGCTAGCTAGCTAGCTAGCAAGCTAGGTATGCAGCTAGTCAACTGGCTAGCTAGCTAGCCAGTCACCGCTACCTAGCTAATCATCGGCCACCTTCCCGCTGCAGTTCTCCGCCCGTCTAGCTAGCTATCTAGTCATTTAGCCAAATGCCTCATTAGCCCCCTAGCTAGCTAGCTAGCTATCTTCATAGCTAGCTAGGTAGCCGGCGCCTACTCAAGGCCCGCTAGCTAGCTGCCCCGCTAGACTTCCAAATAGCTAGCTAGCTATCTAACCACCCAGCTCGCTAGCTACACAGGCAACTAGCCTGCCAGCTAGTAAGCCAGTTAGCTAGCCAGCTAGCCAGCTGACCAGATAGCTAGCTAGCTAGCTGGCTAGCTAGCTAGCTAGCTGGGGCAAAGGGGCACCTGTATGGTTTTTCCAAGTCCCATTTCGTCGCCAATGAGAACTCTCCCGTGGCGCTGCAGTCCAAAAGCAACTCCTTGTCTTTGGAACTCCCTGAGAGAAGCAAAAAGATTCGGCTCCACGCCTGCTGCTGCTGCTGCTGCTGCGCCTTCGGCTGCTGCTGCTGCGGGTGCCCCGGCGGGGGTAGCTGCTGCAGCAGCTGCAGCTGTTGCAGCTGTTGCAGCTGCTGCGGCTTCAGGCGCGGCGCCGGCGCTCCCGCCCGAAGATGCGTCGCCAGCAGACGACTGCTGCTGCTGTTGCTGCTGCTGCTGCTGCTGCTGCTGAAGGCCGAGCAGCTGGGGTGATGGTGGGAGCTTGTGCCGCAGCAGCACCAGCGCCGTCTTCTTGGGCACAGCAGCAGCAGCAGCAAAAGGTTGGAATGCAGCAAAGGCCCGCAGCACAAACGAAGGAATAGGCTCCAAGGAAGTGAACGTAAAGCCCTGCAGCAGCAGCAGCAGCAGCAGGACCAGCAGCAGCAGATCTGTTGCAGCAGCAGCCGCAGCTGCACTTAGGACAGCAGCGAAATCGGCGGCAGCAGCAGCAGGAGCAGCAGCAGCAGCTAAGCACCACACCTTTGCTCCCATGGTGTGCTGCAGCCGTAACAGGGGCAACAAACGCTGCCGCAGCAGCAGTAGCCCCAGCAGCAGCAGCAGCAGCAGCAACGAAGACAGCAACAGCAGCAGCAGCAACCGCCTACCTGTTTAACGCCCTCAAGAACCTGCGTGTATCGAGAAGCTTCAAAGGGCCCTGGATCAACTGCTGTGCCGCTGCTGCCAAACTTGCTGCTGCTGCTGCTGCTGCTGCTACTTCCCGTCGCAGCACCTTGTGTGTCTTCCTCTTTAGCCCAACCCTCCTTGAGAGCCTGATCGCAGCAACAGCAGCAGCAGCAGCAGATGCAACGGAAACAGCAGCAGCTGCAGCAACAGCAGGGTGAGCCGCAGGAACAACAAGCCTTGCAGCAGCAGCGGCAGCAGCAGCAGGACTAAGAGCAGCAGCGGCGGAAGATCCTGCAGCCGTACAGCAACAGCAGCAGCAAGAACACCAGCAGCAGCAGCAGCAGCACACCAGCAGGTAATCCCCCAGAGCCCTTGGCAGCAAAGGGCTCCACAAAGCACCTTTGCTGCCGCCGCGTGGGGCCCCGTGTCTTCTGTGCAGCTGCTGCTGCTGCTGCAGCGCGAGAACTCTAAACTTGTCTTCTGAACAAATCTCAAAAGATATTGTTGCTTCCAAGTGAACAGTTGGAGAAGCCGCAGTGCCTGCTGCTGCTGCTGCTGCTGCTGTGGCTGCGTTCGCCCCTGCCGTCTTGCCGAATGGCAGCACCCTCGAGAAGGTGCTGCTGCTGCTGCTGCTGCTGCTGCTGCTGTTGCTGCTGCTGCTGCAGGGAGCAGCAGCATCGTAGCGAAAGGCATCCATAAACTGCAGGGCGCTTTTGGGGGCTTGAGACACTCGGACAGGGACACAAACAGCAACTGGCTGCTGCTGTTGTTGCTGCTGCTGCGGTTTTGCTGCTGCGGGCGCTTCTGCTGCGGCAGCAGGAGCTGCTGCTGCTGCTGCTGCTGCATCATTCTGCTGCTGCTGCTGCTGCTGCTGCTGCTGCTGTTCTTGCAGCACACTGATGTCGAAGTCGAAGTCACTCGCGAGGTCCTCCACAGTGGGATGCGCAGCAGCAGCAGCAGGCGGGGCAGCAGCAGCGGCACCAGCAGGTGCAGGGGCTGCTGCTGCTGCTGCTGCTTCCTCTGTCGAGGGCAAACTGAAGGGAGACAGTGGGGAAGGATGCTGCAGCGCTGGTGCGTCCGCACTTGCTGCTGCTGCTGCTGCTACCTGTCCTGCGGCATCAGCAGCAGCTGCTGTAGGTACCGTTCCCTGCGCTGCTGCTGTTGCTGCTGCTGGTGCTGCTGTTGTTGCTGCTCTTTGCTGCGCAGCAGCGCCGCCTGCAGCAAGGCGCAGGGTCTTGTTGGGAGAGACCTGCAGCTTGAGCTGCCTGTGCTGCAGCTGCACTTCGGCTGGCAGCAGCCCCTGCTGCTGCTGCTGCTGCTGCTGCAGGTAGGCAACGAAAGCAGCAAGCTGCCCCGTGGGAGCAGCAAGGCTGCGGGCCCATCTGCAGTAGCTGCTTTCTGCTGCTGCAACAAAAGAAAATGTCTTGCCAGCAAAACGGCCAAAGCGAAACACAGTGTCGCCCAGCTGCGGCGCTGCTGCTGCTGCTGCTGCTGTTGGTGTTGCTGTTGCTGTTGCTGTTGCTCCTGCTGCTTTTGACGGAGGAGCGGGGGCAGAAGGCCGCGAATAAAATAAAGCAGCAGGAATGGTTTCGGGGAGAGTAGATGCTTGCTGCTGCTGAGGCTGCTGCTGCTCTTGCTGAGGCTGCTGCTGCTGCTGCTGCAGCTGCTGCTGCTGCTGCAGCAGCTGCTGCTGCGTCCCTGGCATTACAGGTGTACCAACATGCTGCGGATCAACAGGAGGGGCTCCTTAAGGGACACCTCTTTGTAAACCTTAAACCCTAAACCCTAAACCCTAAACCCTACGCTGCAATTGAGGAAATTAGAGAGCACCAACAGGAACCTTAAAGACCGAGAGAGCCTGGGGAAGAACAGCAGCTTTAGGAGGAAACGCTGCTGCAGAGGGCCCAGCAGCAATTGTTGCTGCTGCTGTGGCGTCTGTGTTGTTGCTGCTGCTGCTGCTGCAGTAGTAGCAGCAATTGCGTCCGATAAGCAGCAGCAGCAGCAGCGGCGGTAGCAAATTCCGGCTACACGAGTGCTTCGTGCAAGGAAAAACCTCACGGGTACTTTGTCTTTATCCCTGCAGCTGCTTTTGCTGCTGCTGCTTCTGCTGCTGCAGCACTGATTCTGCTTTGCTGCTGTTGTGCCATACCCCCCAAGGCAGCAGCAGCAGTGCAGCAGGTGCTGCTAACAGGAGGTGTATATACACCTGGAGAAGCCCAATGACAGATTATAATTTATAAAATAAAATTATAAAAGAAAAACAATAAAACAAAAGCAACAAAACGCTCAAGGGGGCCCACTGGATGCCATGGGGGCCCCCCCGGGGGGCCCCCACCACCCCAGCCCCCGCAGCAGCAGTAGCAGCAGCAGCAGCAGCAGCAGTAGGTATGACTATTATTCCATAAATCTTCGATTTAAGCTCTAAACCGTGATTCATAAACCTCAGATTTAAACCCTAAACCCTAATTCCCAAACCCTAAACCCCGCGTTCATTCACATTTGATTTCAACCCTATGTCGTGGTTTGTAAACACTTAAAGTTAACACCCAAACCCCAGATTCTAAACCATTGCTTAAACACTTTAAACCCTAAACCCTAAACAAGTGCCTTAACAACTCAAACCCTAAACCCTAAACAATTGCTATAACACCTTAAACCCCAATCCCTAAACAAATGCCTAAACACCCAAACGCTAAACCCTAAGCAACTCGTTACACACCTTAAACGCCAAACCCTAAACACTTGTTTTAATGCTCTAAACCCTAAACCCTAAACAACTGCTCCAACATCCAATCTCTAAACCCTAAGCGGTTGCTTGAACGGCCAAACCCTAAACTCCAAACAACCCCTTTAAGACCTCAAACCCTAAACCCTAAACAACTTGTTCAACACCTTAAACCGTAAACCCTAAACAATTATTCTAACGCCTTAAACCCTAAACCATGAGCAACTGTTCCAACGCCTTAAACGCTAAACCCTAAAACCCCAAACCCTAAACCCTAAAAGGTTGGTTCAACGCCTTAAACCCTAAACCCTACACCGGTTTGTGCCCCTCCTAAACCCCCAGCCTCTTTTATTTTAATTTAAAAGTGTAAAGAAGCAAAAAACTAAAATTCTAAAAACAAAATAAATGAAAAGCAAAGAAGAAATTAGGGGCCCCGAGCCCCTGCTGGCGTTCAGGTGTACATACAGCTCTGCTTCTAGTGCTGCTGTGCTGCTGCTGCTGTCGCTGCTGCTGCTGCTGCTGCAGTCGCTGCTGCTGGTTTTGCTGCAGCAGATGTTGCTGCTGCTGCCGCTGCTGCTGCTGTTCCTGCATAGGCGCGCTGCATCGCACTTTGCTTAAAGCAGTTAAGGCGCTCCCTGGGGCCCTCTTTAGGGGCCCCCTTA